AGACACAATTATCTTTGTTTCATTTATTTATTTTTTAATGTGGTGCTGAGGATCAAACCCAGTGCCTCACACATGCAAGGCAAGTGCTCAACCACTGAGCTACAACCCCAGCCCAATATCATATTATTTTTATTCCTATTTTAAAAATTGAGTCGTTTTCTTTTCTTTTGGTGCTGGATACATGGCTTCCTGAATGCTAAGCATGTACTTTACCACCAAGCCACCCCTTTGTTTCCAAAAGTTTTATATCAATAGTGCTAAAAATATAATGGTAGCTAACGTTTGTTGTTGCCTACTACTAGTCTATATGCTTCACTGACATTGAATTCTTCATGGTCACAATTAGGTTGGTACTATCGTGATTTTCTCTTTTACTTAATTTACAGAATAGCTTAAACTATTGCATACCATAAACAATGCATTTGAAACTGTAAAATTTATTTTTTAGTATATTCACAGAGATTTGCAGTCAGCACAATTTTAGAACCCTTTCTCTTACAGCCATTTTCTTACTCCCTTAATCTCTGAACAACCACAAAGCTACTAATTATAGATCTGCCTTTTGTAGAAATTTCATGTAACAAAATCATACAATCTTTGACCAATAGTTTCTTTTACACAGCATTTCTTTCAGGGTTCATCTGGGATATAGTGTATCTCTTTCCCTTTTATTGCTGGATGATAGTCTGTTGTGTGGATATAATTTTTCCATTCATCAGTTCATGGACATTTGTTTGGACTTTTGGGACCTCACACATAATACAGCTATAAAAATTTACCAATATCTTTTTGTATATACAGAGCTTTTAGGGATATTCCAAGGAGTGGAATTGCTGGGTCAATTAGAAACTGTATGTTTTTGAATGTGCAGAACTCCCAGGCTGTTTTTCCAAAATGGCTGAAGCATTTTCCATTCCTGCAGGAAGTGTATGAAATTTCCAGTGTCTCCACAGCCTTTCTAACATTTACATTTCGTTTTAATCATCCTAGTGAAGTGATGTGATTTTTTTGGGGGGGGGGCGGTGAGGGTACAGGGGATTGAAGTCAGAGGCACTTGGCTACAGAGCCACATCCCCAGCTGTATTTTATATTTTATTTAGAGACAGGGTCTCGCTGAGTTGCTTAGGGCCTCACTAAGTTGCTGAGGCTGACTTTGAACTTGTGATCCTCCTGCCTCAGACTCCTGAGCCACTGGGATTTTGGGTGTGTGACACTGTGCCTGGCAAATTTATTAATTTCTTTTCAAGTACTGAGGACTGAATCCAGGGCCTTGCACATGCTAGACAAGTGCTGTACCACTGAGCTACATCTCAGCCCTTTTCTGATCTGTTCCTAATTTCTAGTCTAACTTCATCATGGTCAAATAATACACTTTGTTTTACAGTTTCTTTAATGCTCCAGGATATGTACATTTTTGGAGAATATTCCATGTACATGTGAAAGTAATTATATTTATTGCTATATCACATTTTACAGATGTCAATGTGATCCTTTTGATAAATATTTATTCACATTTTTAAAAAAACCCTGCTCATGCTCTCTACTATTGTTTAATTTATTTTGGGGGTGGTGCTGGGGATTGATCCCAGGGCCTTGCGCATGTGAGGCAAGCACCCTACAAACTGAGTTATATCCCCAGCCCCTACTATTCTGTGTATTATTGATGGAAGAGATTTTATATGGATGTCTGCTTCCCCCCCACCAATGTATCTCTTTTTCCTTCATGTATTATGAAGCTCTATTGTTAGATGTCTGCACATTTAAGATACTTTTCAGTGAATTGATATATTATTACAGTATCAGCATTCTGTTAGGCTCTTCTTTTCCTTTGGTCATGAAAGCTCTTTATATTACCTGGTAATTTTCTTTGCTCTGAAGTGTATTTTGTATAATATTAAATGTAGACTCTCTAAAACTTGATGATGTATGCCTGTAATTCTAGCTACTTGAGAGGCTGAGGCAGGAGGATTGCAAGTTCAAGGCTAGCCTCAGAAACTTAGTGAAACATTGTCTCAACATTTTAAAAAGGGATAGGGATATAGCTTGGTGATAGAACACCTTGGCTTCAATGCCCAGGATAAATAAATAAAATTTTAAAAAACCAAAAATGTATGTCAAATCCAAACCCACAGAGGAAAATGAGTTCAGTTCCCAAGAGAATAGTGAAACCATAACTATGTGAAACTTTATTTCTATATTGGCATTAAATTAGTACTGCTCAAATTACATTGAGGATTTACAGTAAAATCTGAAAGTTCCTTCTAATGTACATATAAGTGGAGTCATGAAAGCTCTTTATATTACCTGGTTTATGACCTTACAGATTTAATTAAGTGAATGAAAACTGAATCTCTATTCCACATCCCATCTTTTATCACTACTAATAAAATCTATTCTTATTTTCAAGGTAGAATTTTAAGTGTCCATATTTCTCTTTTATTAATTTTTTAGTTATAGATGGACACAATACCTTAATTTTATTTATTTTTAATTTTTTATAGTTATAGATGGACAGAATGCCTTTATTTATTTTTATGTGGTACTAAGGATCAACCCCAATGTCTCACACATACTAGGCAAGTGCTCTGCCACTGTGCTACAGCCCCAGTCCAATACCTTTATTTTATTCATTTATGTTTTATGTGGAGGATTGAACCCCGCACCTCACATGTGCTAGGCAAATGCTCTACCACTGAGGCACATCCAGTCCCTAAGTGTCCATATTTCTTAAGCCACATTTGAGGAAGTCATATCTTAGGTTTGGATGTTATCTCTCCTCATCTTATACATAAAACTTCAACAGATTTAATATTGGCATCCATCATCTGTCAAATTCTTTACATTCTTCAAACCAATCAAATTTTATAATTCTCAACATTTTTTATGTCAATAAAATAAGGTTTGGAGTTACTGTATTTGATGTCTTTGTCAGACTGGACTTGTAGTTGCTATCTGGATTGGAATTAAAGGATGGGGAAGCAGAGATGGTTCTTGGCCTAAGTCTCTTTAACAGTAAAGAGGTAGAACAGAGCGCGAGGACCGTGAAGACCTGATGGTTGACAGCACGGCACTCTACCTCTTGGTGGTGAAACTAGGGCAGCAAAGGTATACTGAGAGGAGTTATTTGAAATCGTCACAACAGCTGTTTAAATTTGAATAAATCTGCATGGGTAGGAGCAATGCCAGATGCAGCAGCCTCAGCCCAGCATGGCCACCATTGCTCTGCTCCTTCAGTGCTCAGCTTTTCTCCCTAGATGCCAGGTATGTGGAGATGTGCTGCTCTGGGATAGCACAGGCAAAATGGGGTGCATCCTTTCAATTACATTTAATGTGTCTGAGTATGCTGAGATTCAGTTCTACTATATTATTATCTCTATGGTCTCCTTTCTCATTATCCAGTTTCCTCTTTATTACTGTTCTTTTGGGTTAACTATTTTTTATGAGATTTTGAAAATTTTTTCAAACTTTATTTATTTATATGTGGTGCTGAGGATTAAACCCAGTGCCTCATATGCTAGGCAAGTGCTCTACCACTGACCTACAACCCCAGCTCTGGGTTAACTATTTCTTAAGTACTGTTTTCATTTACCTTTTAAAAAAACAATTTCATTGTATCCTTCTCAGTGATTAAAATATACATATATAAAACATATGTATAAATGTAAAATATTTATCTTTTCAGTCTTTTTTTTT